TTCCAGCTTTGATGAAAAAAGAAGGAATTACACAAAACATCCTTTTCTGCTAAAACAGAACAGTTTTTTTTTTTTTTTTAGTTTATGACATTAACAGAGCAAATCAACTGAAAATGCATAAGAAACAAACTTTGAAAACAATCTGTGAAACTAGTGATGTATTGACTGATACATCACTGCTCAAACACATTTAACTCAATGATTCCCTTTCTAGGTACAATGCAAAAACCTCAGCCCGTGTTTCAACAGTCCGTCTGTAACCTGACAAGATGGTTTAATCAATTCCAGGGAGGGCAACTTGTTTGGTCTGATTGATGTTTTAATCAGAGGCACAAGAGAAACCATCCCTTCTAGACAGGACACTATAACTCTTGCCAACCAGGTTTTATTAGTTCTAAACTATTCTTCACAGGAACGGTTAAAGTTAACAAAAAATACTTTGATGAGCACCAGTACAAGGTATGATCTAGTTACCGTATTGTCCGCACTATAAGGCACACCGGATTATAAGACGCACCTTCAATGAATGGCCTATTTTAAAACTTTTTTCATACATAAGGCGCACCGCATTATAAGGCGCATAGAATAGATGCTACAGTAGAGGCTGGAGTTACGTTATGTGGAGCTGCACTAAAGGATGAATGTCTAAAGCCACTTTGTTGACATAAAGAATGTCAACAAAACAGTCCAACTCTGGTCGGCGAGGAGCCTTCCGCGATTGGGCCAGGATGTGGCCAGACGATGGTCACCCTTCTCCGTTCGCGCACAGCATGTTCGTGGAGAATGTGGTGCTAAATGACCTGCAGACGACCTGATTCAAGACGGTCGGTAGGTAGATAGGTCAGTCAAACTTTAACAAACCAGCGCTCTGACAACTATCCCAGCATGCACCGCACGCTTCTTCTTCTACAGGCGAAAATGAAGTCGGCGGCTGCTTACCGTAGTTGTTAGACCTGCTGTGGCTCAATATTGGTCCATATATAAGGCGCACTGGATTATAAGGCACACTGTTGGCTTTTGGGGAAATTGAAGGTTTTTATGTGCGCCTTATAGTGTGGAAAATACGGTACTAGGTTCTACATAAATAGTTTTTGCTGTTCTATGGAACAACTATGTTAAAATCTTCAGAGTGAATATTTCTATCTTCTCAGATTGGTTTTGAGAGAAAAGGTTAAAGTTTGGTTCCTCAGCAAAGAGTGAAAACTTAGAGAAAAGGATAAGAGTGGCAGTACATTTTACAGTTATGATTTATTGCATTATATGACACTATATTCATGAGCGTGACTTTAACCAGCTCTGCCCAGTTTACCCAGACCAGATTCTTCTCCATTTGCAGAAGTTGTTGTTGATTACTCCTTTATTGTAACAATGCTTGTAAAGTCTCTATTTCCCCTTGAATGGGCCCATATTTACAAAGAAAATGTATTTCAGGAGAGTACATTGGGTTACACCCAGATAGAACAAACTTCTGAACCTTTTAATGTTACAGAAGTTCAAATTCTAATTAATCCAGAAGAAAAAAGGATTTAGCAGTCAATTATTGTTCTTCAAGAGAAATTGGACCTTTAAGGCGGTGATTGGAAAATTGGCAACAAAATCTCTGACAGCTATACCTGTAAAGTGAAATCTTCATTCTGTTTTCTCTGATCAGCAGGAGCTCTGACTTCGTCTCGCTTCAGAACAGGAATAAAGGTTCAGTCAAATCACACAGTAGTTCACAATAAACATTTAGAAACCATCAGCTCTGAAAACTGAACATTTTGCCAGAACTGACTGAAGGCCTCCTGTTTTATTTTTTCAGATTTCTTAGTGAAATGAAAAAAATTCTTTTTATTTAGACCCCTGCTGAATTTTATCAATATGCTATATCGATCATGACAAAAAAATTTTGTCTATATGAATTTAGAAAGAACAGTCAGAGAAACACTGCTTCTCTCTCTAAAAAAGGTTGAATTGGTCATGAGAGCAAAAACCACACTCGCATTCATAACCCAAATACACATGGAGACGCTGAAGCATCCCAAAAAGATTATAGATGTACCAAGAGACACACACTCTGAAAGCATTGCTTTGTTGGAAAGTCATAAAAGGCATCAAGACAAATAATGCATTCATAAAACTCTGATTGATACTGATAAGTATTCAATTATTCCTTGATTATGTGGCTTTGAAGCTCAGTGTTGTGACTGGAGACATGATTTCCAGCTTTTCCTCTCAGCATAAAGATATTAGCTATTGAAAGAAGAATGAAAGCATGCAGACGATATGTCCACAGAGAGGCTGCTGTTCTGATTACTTGATATAACGCAGCTGCTTTTTATAAAGGATGCACACATGGGTGCTCTTGCAAATTTACATCATAAAAAGTACTTGGCTAAAAAGACAAATATGCGCAGACAAACAGGTGCATGCAAAGACGCACACACTGGGAATAACACACACGCACACACACACCTCTCTGCCAGTGAAATCTGTATGCCAGGCAAACCAGAACCGGGAGGCGATAACAAATCTAATTTCCGGCATGTTTGCCAAGTTTCCAGACAGCATTTGTCTTGTGGCTGAATGTGGGGAGTGGGATCTGAGTCGAGTAAACAAGGGCACAGATATCCTGTCTGATAGAATTTGCCACTTCATACCAGCTTCCATCAGAGCCTGGACAAACACTCACAGACCGTGTTCAGCATCTGCTGCAGTGTTAGAGGTAAGACCAGGCAGAACCGATTCCACTGAAACTTCAGGACTGGACTTCAAGTCAGACTAAGGCAGCGTAAAGTCCTAGTGAATGTGTAATGCAGGAGTTAGCCGTAACAGTTATGGTGTTCTCTTACAAACTTGAAAAAGATCTTCATTCAGGTCTTTTCTATTTCTGTTTCTGTTGTCACACCAAACTGTGTAGTTCTATGCCAAACTAGACTTAAAACTACATATAGGTCTACATATAGTTCTACTGTGTTCTATCACATCATCTATAGTTCTACACAAAACATAGAATTATACCGGTGAAGAACTACACCATTTTTGTTATTTGTAATCCGTATACTCTCTCTACATACGTATTACAGAGAGAGAGATATGACATCATCATTTCAAAAAAAGACATGGCTTGCACATTCGCATGAAGCATAAAAACTGCAATTTTGAATTTTTTCCACTCTGGAACTCAATTTCAAAATGGATCGTTTCTGGTTTCCCAAGATGCCGGATCCGAAGACAAAAACCCTTTGTGAATACACCTAAAATCTTCGCTATGTGGATGAGGCCTGGGCCTCAGGAATGGTCATTAGACAGAAAAACAATGGATGCCTGACTTAGTTCAGAACAGAGGTGCTGTTTCAGAAGTCAGAAGCTTCTTATTGAGGAAGACACATTTCAATGGAGCAAACATGAACGCTACTCTACTAGAGAAAACGGATCTGAAGAATAGCTTATAAAAACATCTGCGTTCTAGTAATGGCAGGGGGAACAAAGATAGATGAAGGTTTGTACTGTAGGCTGTTCATGGTAAATTAAGAGGACAAATACTTAAAAAATGCTTTGAAGGACATTACTCCATTCATCAAACTGAATCCACTTATGAAAAAAGTGTCTTCCAAACCTTTTCACCTGTAATGTAAGTAATATTATCAGAGGCTTGCTTTTCTTTTCTTTTTTATTATTAAATTTACAATCACATTAACTAAAGTACACCTTCTCTCAATTACTCTGTGACACAAGAGGAATTGTGGTAAAACTTCTGGATGTACCAACAACACATATTCTTTACAAAGCATGAGAGCATTGTACATTTTAGAAGTTACCAAGAACAAAGTAGCAGCATCAGACGGTTCTGGCTTGGCCACCGTCCAGGCTTTCTAAATATAACAAAGGACACCCAGAGCTGCTGAGTGACTGGATTTCTGCTGGAGCTGGCTGAAGAGGAGCTGATGCAATCCAAGAACTTTCTTCAGTCACAGCATCTAATATGTTCTGTTTGGACTTTCTACAATTAGATCTAAAGTTCTGATGATTTGCGAGTGCTTTGGGTTCTTTTTTATATATCTAAAGTCTCTTTAGAAAGTGGGACTGAAAAACTTACTCAGTTTCTGTGACACATTCTGACATGGCCATAAAATAAATCCCAATTGATTTGGAGAGCTAATTAGAGAAGGCCAGTGAGACACAAGGAGACAGAAGAGGCTTATAGATTGGACAGCTTGTAGCTGTATGTCTGAACAATACCCACACCAATCAGTTCTATTCACATTTAACTGTCAATTACTGCTGCTGTTTTGACACGAGAAAGAACAAAATGGTCATCTAAATTAAGACAGAATAAAAAACTATAACACACTGAATAGAAACAAACATAAATAAGGCCAAATTATGTGAAAAGAAATGTGAAAAATAAAACAAAAACTTTCACATACATCTTATTATGTTGCAGAAAAGATGGGAAAACCTTTTGGTTCACCAGTCTGGGAAAGACCAAAATAAATATAATGAATTTCTGATTAGATTAGGCAACAATGTTTCTCATTACTGATGTAATTAAAATGGTGCCCTAAAGAGGCCAGTCAATAGACATTTAGCTAATGTAATGTAAGAAATGCTCAAAATGCTGTCAGGCACACATCACCAATGTTGTTCGTTGTTTACTCCATTTAACTGCAATGTGTTTACAATTAGGTTCAGAATTACTTTTGTGAGATACTGCATGCTAATGACAACTACCCCACACAACACCCCAAGACAACCACTGGCCACCTTTTAGCCAGTCTCCACCGAGGGCTGGGAAAGGCGACGAACTGGCCAGGCATGTCTCCGGAACTAAAGCCTCAAACTGAAGGCTGAGAAACAAAAGGTCTCCTACATCCCTGTTATGGAGAAATGGAAGAGGACTGCAGTGGCAACCTGTGAAGCTCTAGTGAACTCCAAGAGAGTAAAGACAACAAAGGAAAACTGTGTTGGCCACAAGAAACATGAGACAAACTGGAGATTTTTACTTAGGGTGTACTCACCTTCATTACCAGCAGTTTAGACGTTGAGTGTGTGTCGAGTTATTTTGAGGGAACAGCAAATTTACACTGTCATACAAACTGACTGTGACTCCATCAGCTTACAGAAAAGCTCAAATGGTCATCAAATCCATCACTCAGGACAAATAAGTACCTGAGAATAAACACAAAAATTCAAACATGAATGAGCTGTAAACTCTTGAGTTTGTTGATGGTTTCGGTCACCAGTTGGCACAGTTCAGCTACTGAGGTTTTCACATATTTCTTTCTTCCTGACATCATTTCTCATATTTTCATTTACAACTTCACTTTTATGCTTTCCTCGTTAGTTTATGAACTGGAGATTTTGATCAATGATATTGAGTTTTTTAATGCAGTCTGCTTTTGCTGTTATTGTGCAGAAACCTGTGAAAGCAGTGTCATCTGATGAGTTCACAGCTTCAGCAGATGAGCAGACGAAGGAAACTGAACTTTTATATTTATGATCCATTTTTTCTGAGAATATTGAAGGAAATATGACCATCACCTTACATTTAAATATAGTTGTGATGTCTTTAATGAACAGTTCCATCAGCTCACAATTTAATAGAATCAATAATTGATTAAAAGAAAACAACGTTATAGTGTTTTGAAATGGTCCTCAATTAGAAATGTAGAATGAACCACTTAAAGACTCTTTATTTCTGACATCTAAAATAAAAAAAAATAAGTAAATGAGAGCAGATTTGTGGAAATTCTGGCAATTTAAAACAGCAAAAAGAACTGGAATGGATTAACGAGGTTAATGAGTCAACAAAAGTCGGGTTCAAAATGACACAGAAAAACAATAAATTTGCTGATTGTGTTAGGTTCTGGGTTTTTTAGGTGGTCCTTTGGTTTGCTGAGTTATCTCCCCACTAGATGGAGTCCGAGAGGTGGCGGGCTGTGGTTTCATTGATGATGTTATCCTCTCACCGGAAGCTGATCATCTAATTGACGGCAGCATAAGAAGGGTGGAACGCCGGTACTTCGACGCCAGAGTGTCAACCTTAGATGGTACCTCCAGCCCCTCAGAGATTTGCTCCGAGTTTTCCTCTTTCTTGAGATCTGCCTGTTTTTGTGTTGTGCTTCATTGTGGGTTTTTGCTCTCCTCAGGATCCTTCCACATCTGGTTGCCTGACCGCTGTTTTTTTCCCACGACGTCATGGGATCTTGCCCCATAGATGCCTGAAAGCCAAACCTCACCTGTTACTGTAAGATTCTGGCAGCCATTCAGAAGTCTCCAATCGGCCGTTCCACCTAAACTCAGCCGCTTTCAAGGACAAGCCTCCCTGTCCGCCCTCCAACGCCACTCTCCGAACCACCAAACTCCACGAAGAAGCAAATCTATAGGTTAGAAAGAACTCCAGGACCAACCAACCCCCTCCAAGCCGTTCGTACGCACTGAGCCAGTAAGTTTACTTAATTCTCATTCGCAACCTCCCGTTTCCCAGTCACCTGAACTCACCACGCTTCTCTTATCTTCTCAGTGCACCGAGAGCAGCCGAGCAGTTTTCTGGACCAGCTTTCCTTTAATTGTTGCTTGCTGTAAATAAAACCTTTCATTTTTACATCCGTCTCTTTGGTGTTCATGCATGTGGGTGAAATCCGTTACACCCATCATGACAGATTGGAGAACGACATCATAACTTCCATATTATCTAAACTTTATTTTATTAGAAAAAAAATTGAACAAGAACTATTTGAAAAAATGTATAAATTCACTTTTAATCGCTTTAACATCAACTAGTTCCTCTTCAGGTACAGTTAAAAAAAACAAAGTTTGAAAAGAAGGCCCCACAGATTCTGGGTAATAAGAGTGAAAGGACATTCAAAGTGGATTTCTGAAAATCTCAGAGATATGTGTTTCTGGGGAGTACTAACACAAACTGAACCAGTTGCCTCTCAGATGTTAACTCCTTTAACAACCTCAGCTTAGCGGTGACACGCTGTGCGAAATCAGCAACTGTCGACAGAACAAGGCAAACACACAAAGACTTAAAAGGGGAAAACAAGGAGTGTTTTCAGAGCTCATCTAATGCACCATATCACATTAACCATCATCACTGTCCAGACGAGACAGCAGTCATCCAGCCCCATTCACCAGGAGCCAGAATACATCCAGCTCCACAGAACGAAGGAAACTCTGGGTATGAGTGTTCCTGACCTGGGCTCCTCACGCCGTCCTGTTTCTTTCTTCACATAATTTGCAGCTGGAGCTAATCTGGAGAACTCCACACAGCAAACTCTGCCGTAACACATGTAAGTTTTCCAATGAGCTGCTCCTTTCAACCCTCAGAAACTGGAAATCAGCAATTAACATGTTGACGTTTCAGTAACCAGCAACTGGAGAACAACATTTAAAAACTTTTAAAAGGACAGTATTATGTGTTTCCAGGCACATTGTGCCATTTTATAGCACAATCAAGTAACTATCCTACCTTCAGTTGTTATCAAAATTGGTAACACTTTATTTGAAGGGGGGTGAATAAGACTGACATGACACTGTCATAAACATGACATAACACCTGTCATGAACATGAATAAGCCTTCATGAATATTTATGACTGTTGTCATAAAGTGTCATTCGGTAAATTATGACACTTTTCTTACAAAGTTGACATTATTCAAAATGTCTTTGTTATGACAACTTGACATTAACCAAGAAATCATTACTGATATAAATTTGTTATAAAAGTATTACTGATTGCACTTTAAAAATTAGGTAACTTTATGTTATTAAAGGTAAAGTTTAAACAGTAATGATTTCTTGGTTAATGTCAAGTTGTCATAACAAAGACATTTTGAATCATGTCAACTTTGTATTAAAAGTGTCATAATTTACCCAATGACGCTTTATGACAACAGTCATAAATATTCATGAAGGCTTATTCATGTTTATGACAGTCTTATTCACCCCCCTTCAAATAAAGTGTTACCTAAAATTTTTATACACATTTCAAAAATGACTTAAAAGAAAATTGACTTCCTAATTTGACACCTTGAAATTGGGCCTCTGTCTCTTTAAAAACTTCTGCTCTTTCTGAAACATAAGGAACTCATCCCAACATGGCTGGGATTAACCCTTTAACAGTCATCCCAGCATCACTTCTCGGTAATGTCTTTACCAACGTTACAATGAGAAGTAGCTTTTACAATGAGTTCAGCAGTTCCATCAGGTGTTTGCTAATTGCTGCTGGCTAGACTGAAGGAGATGGGGGTTGGGGGGCAGGGAGGGTGTGGTATAAGCTTGGAAACTGCAGCTCCAAGGAGGAGCTTGTTTCTTTTCCACCCAGGCATTTTTCACAGCAAGAAAGAATCAAAGCAACACTACAGGTATGTTTTTAATGAGGTAATAACATTATAACATGATGTAAAGTTAAAAAAGGAGATTTAACATAATACTGTCCCTTTAAGAAATAAGTATGTTTTCAATTTGTATTTAAATATGAAAATACTGAATTTATTTAGAAGCACCCTATTTAATACACTTCTGTATTGGTTATGCATACAACTGAAGATGGCAAGAAACCAAATATCATTTATTAATTTATTCTCAGTTTAATATTCTTCTTTTCATCTTTGTGTGAATATTCTTGGTGGAACCTAACTCATAAATAACCTAATTATTTGTGGACGACTTTCCTATTTCCATATTTTTTTATAGTATATATCTAAAATATTCCAAAGAAAATGCAGCTTGGGAAGCTGAGATACCCAGATGTAATGCGACTTGACATATTGGTGGCTGGCGTTTCCAAAGTAGCTAATGCAGGAGCGCCTTTGGCTGATTGGCTAAACTCCCAAGAATAACGCTAAGGAAGACCGTGGATGTTCAGCTTCTGCAGTACTGTCAAGTAAGTTTCTACTAAACCACAAATGCCATATAGTGGATCCTAATGCTAAAGTGTTAAGGAGCTAATTTTGATTCAAATTATATCTGCCCTTAAAAGGCTACAATTTTCAATTCCAATTTTGAGCACCAATTTTATTTTGACCTAAATATTTACATATTCTATAATGCCATTAGATATTGTATTTATGTTTCTGTCATGTTCTGTACTGTCTGTGTTTTATTTTGCCCCTGAATGTTTCTTAAATAAAGTTATTGGGGGAAAAGAGAGCGAACACGAGGAAAGGAAACAGAACTGTCATGGTAAGAGTCTTCACCCACTTCAAAATAAGAGTGTAAATATAAACAATCAATAACCAAAACGTCAAAACAGAACTTTATTCAGAAGAAAGACCAAACAGCCAAATAAATTAGTGCTTTAGAGTTTATACAGAAAAAATAACGTAGGGGGAGAGAAGTGTGCTAAATGTTCTCTAAGTTATCAAAAGAGCTAAGCAAAACAACAACAACAAAAAATAGCTCACCTATCAGTGGATTAGTGGACATGTGCCCATGACTGCTGATTTCTTTTGAGTTATTCTGGTATTAAGCCAATAATTTCGTAATGATGATTTATTTCAAACAGTAAATGTTGAGTCTCACTTCATTTCCAAGAGTCTTTGACTTTTCATACAGATCCTTAAAAAAAGACTTCTTGTCAAGTCAAACTTGTCACACCATATATCAATTAAAACAGAAAAATCAATCTTCTTTGATGATTCTTCAAAGAATAATTTTGGTTTGTCAGTCAGTTATAGTTTGGGTCCTTCGTACGCCAAAAGGCGCAGAAACTAAGAATAAATTTACTGCTTTACACACACATCTTCTGTGTGAGATCCCAGGCTCTTGTGCATCTGCTTGTAGTAAAAGCTGCAGGTGGTTCTTGTTATCGCATTGACAGTTTGATTTAAAGGATTTCAACAGGCACACATCCTTTGACCGCGTTGCTCTCTCTCTCACACAAATGGTCCACAGTGGGCATACAGTCCTGTAAACCTGCTAGTCCTTTAACCACACAGATTATGCAAACAGTAACTGCAGTGCGCTGCCAATCTATTTCGCTGTCTTCTTACACACATGCGTGGTCCTTTGGTTTCCTTGGGAACAGTCCATTAGCCCATTTAGCTGTGTGTCCTATTAGCATCAACCTCTCATCTGTCTACTAAGCCTCAAAGGAGCAGCAGTGTGTGTGTGTGCGTTTGTTTGTAATACCTTGTGGGGACGATTTTCCTGACGTTGTGGGGACCGGAGCCTGGTCCCCACAAGGGGAAACCCTGTTTTTGGGTCAGGGTGCAGATTTAGGGCGAAGGTATGAATTGAGTTTTGGTTAGGGTTAGGTATGTGATGGTTAGGAAAAGGGTAAAGGTAAGGTTTAGGCTGTAGAAATGAATGGAAGTCAATGGAAAGTCCCCACAAAGATAGCAACACAAACGTGTGTGTGTGTGTGTGTGTGTGTGTGTGTGTGTGTGTGTGTGTGTGTGTGTGTGTGTGTGTGTGTGTGTGTGTGTATGTGTGTGTGTGTGTGTCCATGATGAATGTTTGGTATATATGTGAGTTTCTGATCACTGCCCTCCCTTTATTTTTACAAACTAATCAAATATCAGATTACTTTCCATCAATTCCCACCTGGACCAGCGACACTGCACACAATCATTATCCCTGACCTCTCTGGTTGGCCGCCTGCCACCTGTCCTATCCACCAATTAAACTCCACAGCTGATGAGCCAGCTGACTGCCACTTCCTGCCCCGCAACCAATTAGATCAGATGGAGGAGGCGACCCCAGTGAGGGTAGGCTGAATGAGCCTGTCGACCTTTAAGGTCAAGGAAAGCGAAACTAATTGCTTGTTAATGGGGTAACAATCCCACAGGCAAACCTTCCTTAATGGGATCATTCCATCTTTCACAACAGGATAATTTCAGGAGATGTTTCATCTTTCTGGACCTAATTCACTGTCCAATCTGATTTATTCAAACCCCAACAAACACAAAGTCATTAATCTGAAGAGAAGTAAAAATGTTAAAGCTAAAGGACCAATGGAAATTATGCAATAGTTCATGACTCATTTGTCTCTACGATTTTTAGTGGCACATCAAGACCTTCTCTAAGTCTACCACTGAAATAACACAGATGGCAGACATAGCAAACATTACCACGTTTACACACATTTTTTTTCCCCATGGACTAAAGCTAAGGCGTAGTCCAAACATAGCCAAATATCTAGGAAAATGATAGACTCGTGTGGTCTTTCATCCACACGAGAACTCAACATAACGCCCAGTGAAGATTAGAAATAATAAATAATCTTTCTTTTACTTGTACTGATTCATATCACTAAGCGCAATTGTTTATAAAAAGTCTAACCAAAAGGAGATTTGAGAAAATTCCATATTTCTGTTTGCATGTGGACATGGGAAAACGGAGATTTAGGGCCCCATGCATTACAGTCTGAGACAAATAAAGCACCAATTTATACAAATAATAACTTTGATATGATTCCCAATCAACATCATCTTGTGTTTTAATATATTTATCTTCTAATACACGATTTAAAAACAGCTCAATTCAACTTATTGAGGAATATTAGACATGTCTTCTTTATGAAGTTCTGATGATTTCAATAAATGTATCACTTTTTGAAAAAGCAGTAATCAATATTTCAGGGTATCACTTGTCAATTTTTTTAAAGTAATTGAATTTATGTTCAGTTAATGATCCTGATATACACTTCAGATAAAAACTTTAGGAAAGTAACACAAACCAGGTTTTTAAAAATGCCTTTTTGTGTCCGTTCTACGAGATTTACAGGTAAAGCTGCAGATGTCAGCACGACTCAACACAACAAGGTCCCACCTCATTCAAAATGGCCTCAGGTTACCCAGAACACACAACTCATCAACTGAGTGTGTGCGTGTGTATGTGTGTGTGCAAACTGTCAATTTATTTGTTCATGTCAAACAAGTCAGCAAGTTTCTCCGGCCTGGCTGTGGGCCTCATCCTCAGATCCTATAACAAGGAGCCGGTCAATCAATCTCTAATCAATAGCTATTTGGAAAGGTGTGTGTGCATGTGTGTGTGTGTGTGTGCGTGTGCGTGTGTGTGTGTGTGTGTGTGTGTGTGTGTGTGTGTCAGGCTGACTAATTCAGACATAGCGACATGCAGTGCCCAGGCTCCCAGGCTCCCAGGCTCCCAGGCTGCCAGGCTGCGTTCGGTGCCAGAGGAGGAAATGAGCAGCAGCAACAGTGTGTAGCGCTGAGCTCTGCCTTCCAGAGGGGAACGCTGGCGAACGCTGAGGAGTCGATAACGTCGGTCTGAGCAAATATTCAGAAAGAGGATGGAGAGGCCTGGAGCATGAACACACTAAGAGCTGAGGGAGGAGAGGGCCAGGCTTTGGCCAATAAACAAGCCAGCACAGCACTACTGCAGATTGCTGTAGAGCTTAAGTATACAGAATAGACACATTAGAGAGTCCATCCCCTTGGACCAACACAAGGAGAGCTGATCCTGCATCTGAGGAAAGGCTGGACAGACGAGTCCATGTGGGAACTTATAGAAAACAGGATGTGTTTGTGATAAACTGACACCATTTATTCATTCTCATTAGTTATGATATTATGTTTCTGTATTTGTCTACACTTTTAGAATTCTAAAACACAATTTCTATGTATTTAAATGATTAAAAAAAGGTTTATTTTTCAATGTCAAAACATTTTGGCCAACAATATAAATAAGATATTCATTAAATGTAATGGAAAGCTGTTTAAGGGAATTTATTTTTCCTTTTACTTTTAGTTTATTTGGTTGTAATTAAAAACTACTGAATGTGTGTCTGATGCACATTCTGTATATCATGTTTAAATGTTTGTAATGTTTATAAACTATTAAGAGAAAAAGTATTTGTCCACACGAATGATGGAGTAGGTCAGGCAGGTCCATCAGTGGTGCTGTAAAAGTTCCACAAAATGACACAAAAATACCTAAACTTTTCTGCTTTCGGTCAGCTAAGATGACCAATATTTTTTATTTTTTCTAAATGGCAGAAAAGTGACAGAGAAGTCAGATGTTTATGGAAAAACCTGTGCCTGTGTCTTGTTTGTATGCAGTAATTCACATAAATTAAGTTAATTAGAGTCACAGCTGTGGATGTACTAAATGTTTAATGTTACATGCTTCCTCATGTAACAATATGGAAAAATCTGAAGAATTCCCTTATGAAAACGCTGGACCTCCAATAGTCCTTTTGATAATTTCCCAAACGTTTTGACCTAAGTTCCTCAGTTTAAACAACAATCTTACCACATACTTAATAAATGTATGCAAACCTCTGAGGTAGAAGATAATATTGAAATAATTACTTTTCATTTGTTTATTTGCAAATACCTTGTTTTACTGCTCAAAAGGCCATTCTAGGGGGTAGCATTGCATATTAGCCATGTCTTTAAGTGCTATTGGATATATCATGTTAATTATTTATACTTGCCTCTAGCAAATAAAAAAAAAACATTAAAAAATAAACAGAACACATTTAAATTATATTCAAAAAAGAGAATCTAGATATGTCTTTTAGGGCAGTAGTCCCCAACCTTTTTATTACCGCGGACCGGTCAAGACTTGGAAATTTTGCTCTCGACCACTGCCCCAACGTTCTCTGACTCTGGTTGCTATGGTAACATTTACATATCCCTTCAAAATAAGATACAGATGCACCACAAAAATGAACATTTTACTTTTGTGACCATTTTAAGTCCCGATAACGACTAACGGGAGCCCTGAGCTTGTTTCTCTGCAACGAGACGGTCCCATCTGGGAGTCATGAGAGACAATGACACCCCAAGTGTTGCTTATATCCACAGCGTGCTCGGTCTCTACGTGGCGAAGCAGTTTGAAGCTTCAATGCCTCATTAGTGAGCCGGTCGCCGCATGTTACGCAGAGCGGGCTTGTAATGTGGAACTCACCTACCGGTCCGGGATATATCCATCCTCCTGTATCTTCTCTGGGCCTTTTCCCCTTTGCAAAGAAACTTTCCAAAGACATCTGATCTGTTTCTTACTCATTTTGCTGCTTGTGTGTTCAGTGTTGGAGCGCAAGTAACCGAGAGAATCCGGTTAAAGGATTTTCAAAATAAAAGATCCTCCAGACTCATGAAACGGAAATATTTAATTATTTCTTGAGTGGCCCGGTACCAATCGGTCCACAGACCGGTGCCAGTCCATGGACCGGCAGTTGGAGACCACTGATTTAGGGGACTTCAGTCTATTTTTATGTTTCTATAGCCACATCAGTTAGCTTTATTTATTTCCTTTATGCTCAGCTCAGCAAACTCTTTTCTATGGTACGTACGTGCGTGTGTGTGTGGGCGTGCGTGCGTGCAAGTGTGCATGTGTGTGTGTGTGTGTATAGGTGCGTGTGTGCATGCGTGTGCGTGCGTTTGTTTGTAATACCTTGTGGGGACCAAAAAATGGGAAACACTATTTTTGGGTTAGGGTAGCGGTTCTCAACGTGGGCGGTACCGCCCCCCAGGGGGCGTTCAGAGGACGGCAGGGGGCGCTGGCAGAAGTTTTTACAAAAGGGGGGCGCTGGGATTCCTTTGGGGGGGCGTTTGGTCAAAGGTAAACTTTACACCTTAAATGCACAA